CTCCAGTTGATGGTGGCCAGACGGGGTGGCTTGAGGGGGTGTGTGTGGCGTCAGAGACCATCTACGTTACTACACGGTGGTGGGGGTGTTATTTAAGGCGGTCGGTCACGGTGGCGGCCAGGGAGAGGGAGTAATGTTTACCTTCCTGCCGTAACGGGACGGCAGCCGGTAGCGCATGCGCATGAAGTCCGGAAGGGCGGTGGTCAGAATTACCATACGGCGCGCTATTTAAAGGGGGTTGGGAGGCAGCCGCTCCCAACGCCGACTTTGCATGTATCCGTATACCGTCAGCTTTGTCGTGCAGCGTGTGAAGGCATCATTAATAAAGAAGTTGCAGCAAGCCTGGACTACGCGTGCTCCTTTCGCCTTGCCCACACGGACACGTAACGCATTGTTGACAGTAGGTATTTTTTCAAGGGGCACAATGGGTATTTTTACATGTCTTAAGATTCCTGTTTCCCCTTTAATTTCTGTCAAAACGTCCACCATTTTGCATCTACAATTGTGGCCTAAGGCCTGCTGGGCCCTGCTCATTCTTGTTCTAAACCATATCTATAAATAAACAAATAAATTTTGCTAATATTGGAGTTTTCCATAGAGTATGATGAGATGGTTGTAGTACTTTTAATGCCCTGTTTTCATTTACATATTGATGTTAGTTAACTGGGGTTTTTCATTTAAAAACGGAAGGAAAGGAGAAACATCTATTTAGGCAACAGAAGAATGCAGAGCGGCAACTTTTCTAGATCATGCTTGCAAATAGCTCATTCAAAGTGTTTGGTATTGGCACAGGTTCAGATTATACTTTTTATGCCTAACAGATAATGTAGCTATAACAAAACCTACAAAAGGGTAGAAAGTTAAAGGTCCAAATTAAATTCAAACAGCAACCATAGCTTTTAAAAAACAAATTACTGTATTCTCATGATTATGATTTATTTTAGAAAACCCTTCAATTATCCTCCAAGCCTGATGAAATTATTTTTGTGTGCATGTTCTTAATTCAGTTCATAGAGAGGTGAAGCTCTCTGTCCTCCAATGTGGGTGTGTAATTGTTTCTCCACTTAGGGTGCGTTCTGGGTGCAGAAGGAATGCGAGGTCAAGTTCTTCTTTAAATTTTTGGCAGGCTAACTGTGTAACAACTCCTCTCTGTTGGCACATCAGCAATGCTTTCTGACTGACGGTTTCAAAATTGCTTCTCTACCCATGGTGGTATTCAACCTTCAACAGCTTTGTCTTAAAGCAGGTAAATAATAAAATCCCTGTTTTGAAGGTGAAAAAACAAAACATGGCACTAGAATTGCAATCACTTATGAATCTGCATGAAGCAAGGTGTGTGTTTATGTCTGTGTGTTTGTTTGCATCTGTGAATCTAATCTAACTATCCACAAATTGGAATTACTTTGGCTCTTTCCCAAAGGACATTGGGAGCATTTGAGAAGAATTCACTACCCTGCCCTCAAAACAAGCAACGGTTGCACACTCCTTAACCAAAGGGATTCCACAGGAAGACAGAACAATGGTCTCACGTGTCCATTCACCTGACTCAGCCTCCAGATTTTTGGGCAAGCATTACTGGAATGGGAAATCACCCTTTGGGGAGTCCTAAAAAGTCCTAGTAAAACAGTGAAATGACCTTAAATGCTCTCTTTCTATGGGTAGGGGCTATAAAAGCAGAGTTACTTGATACAGCCTTTTCACTTTCCCAGGGGAATTCAGTTATGAAACATGCATTGGATTCTCTTATTTTTTTTATACTAAAATAGGACCTAGATTTGGATCATTTATGTGAAGGGAGAAGATCTTACTGTTTCATTACAGAAAGAGCTTCTCAGTGGTAATATGTCATTTATGAATTTTCCTATCCAAAGTGACCTCCATAATACCAGCAACACTTTTGAGATTTGTCAGTATGCCATCTGTGTGTGTGTGTGTGTGAGAGAGAGAGAGAGAGAGAGAGATATGCTGGTGATTGTGCTTTATCCCTATAGAGACAGTGCAACTACTTATGACTTTAATTAAGCCTTGAATTATGGTGGTAAGTCATTAAGCAGGTCACCATGTGAGTGTGCCCTATTTTATGACCTTTTGGGTCTGTTGTTAAGTGAATGTTGCAGTTGTTAAATGAGCACCATGATCATTAAGTGAGCCCATTGTAATCAATGGACATTTTTTGCCAGAAACCAGAAGTAAATGCCAGCTTCATGAAAAAAAAACCCCATAAATCATAGTCATATAACTGTGGGATGTGTAATTGACCATAAATGTGGACCAGTTGCCAAGTGCCCAAAATACTATCACATGATTGCAGGCAGGACAAGTTGACAGAACTTCAAAACTCGTAAGTAGCTCTGGGGTGGTTGAATAGTTGCTGAGCGACTAGTCATAAGTCAAGGCTACCTGTATTTTACAATGCTACTGGCAGATGCTTATAGAAAGAATATTAGCTTCACTGTTCCTATTAGCAATCTATACCATTAAGGCAGAGGTCTTTTTGCCCTTGCATAACCACAAACCACTAAAGATGGATTCCTGAATATTGTCTTTTTATCACTTTGACCAATCTTCAAGGCTGACCATGTATAGTCCGCAGCAATGCAGGTCAATTTTGGGGAAGAGGTAATGTTAGATATTTCTTACATTTATTGAAAAATTGCCTCTGAAAGCCTTATTTAAAAATCTACTTCAAAAATACCATGTAGATTTTTGCTAGTCAATAAGAATTTGAACTATGTTGACTGGAAATCATGAAGAAAGTTCAACAGGTTCCAGGTTAAGAAATGCTAAGTTACACTACTGTTTTAATTAGAATAAAGCAGTTCCATCTGTTTTTAGGTCACATGAAACAAAGAGAGATAATGCAATTCTAAGAACTATAATCAAGAACTTGATAACCATGGGATAGACCAGCACTTGGCCAAGAACTTATAAAATGTACCAGGTATCCCCTTTCTTCAGTGATCATACAATTTTTGAAATTATCAACCATAGTAAATGAACTTGCTTGACAGCTTATAAATGAATTATAGTTAAATCATAGCACAAAAAGCCTCAAATAAGCATAGAGATAGGCTTTTCTGGATGTTAAAAACCTCATTAATGAAATATTTCCACTTCCTGGTTTAATGAACACATCCCTTCTGAAATAGTTAATATCTTGAATGCAGTCTTAGAAGGGTTTATGCTCACAATGCAGAAAACCACTTTCCTATATTTGTGCCATAGTAATGCCTAATAAGGAGATACATTTTCATGTGAGATAATTTACAGCCATTTACACTCACTAAAAGCACTTTTTAATAGTTCCTTCTGACAGTATTGTCATTGTTGTGCATCTTGCAACAAATAACATGCATACACTTTCTGTATCTTTCACGTACATACAGGCTGAAAAGTTGGAGGCCCACAGTTAACAAAATCATGCCACAATCACCTTACCTTGTGGATTATGGCAAGATGTCTCTTTACCCCAGAAACATATGTGAATATGGGAACAACGGTGTCATTCCTTAAGGGAATGGGGTGTTCTGCACATATTAAGTAAATATGTAAGTATATTATGTAAGTAAATATGTAAGTATATTAATAAATAAACAAGGGGTCCTTGGAAGTCACGGTTTAATTAAGCTTTCTGGGAAATAGTGGCCCAATATTGCTTAAAAACAATTTCTGCTCCACACGTGTGTTTTTCTTCTGATGACTGTAGTTGAAAGAATGCCACCCTCAATGATATCTCAAATACAATGTTTCATAATAGAGCACATATGTACATTCAGACATCAACCATTGTAAGGAAAAGCAAAAAAGGCACAGGCATGTATGAACTTGCCCTAAGTTAAACTATAGCTACAATAATGTCATAAAGAATTACTTCAAAGTATTTTGCAAATCAAAGCTGCACTGGTCCTGAAGCAACATATAAGATACTACAGAATTGATCTGAGAACCTCTCCATAGTGAGAAAAAGAGCACCAACCATTTTGCTGGAGAAAAAAATCAATATGGGATCATGTCCCATGTTTAGGCCTACTGCAGATTTTTATTTTATTTTTATTTGTTGAGTCATTTAAATTTTTGAGGTTGGGAAATCCCATCCTCAAAAAAATCTCCCTAAAGGATATGGTTGGTAATTAAGCAATCCTACTTAATTCCATATGTCTGGCCAGAGAATGATATGAGATCTGTTCTAAAAATATTCTCATTGTAAGCAGAGGAAGATAAAGATGTCTTTGTTGTAAAGAGAAAAGGAAACCAACCAACCAGTCAGCCAGGAAATAGATGCAACCTCTCTCCCGGGCCCTCCAATATCTCTAGGTCAGTGATGGCAAACCTTTTAGACACTGAGTGCCCAAACTGCGCGCACACGCATGGCCAAACTGAAAGGTGTGCATGTGCACATGCGGACATGCGTGCATGTGCAGACATGTGCACGCACATGGAGGGACATGCACATGCATGCAGCAGACATGCGCACATATACAGCAGAGACCCGAAGACCAGCTGGCTGGCGGGAGGTGGGGCATCCCGAAACTGGCAGCGTGGCAAGAGGTAAGATCTTTTTCTTTCATGAGCTTCTGTTTCATCGTTTGCAGGGAAACAGAAACTCATGAAAGAAACATCATGGAGATCTGACCTGGGGCGATGGTACATGTGCCAGCAGAGAGGGCTCTGCGTGCCACCTCTGGCACACGTGCCATAGGTTCGCCATCACGGCTCTAGGTCTTTTTTTTTTGGCCTTCCAATCTACAGCCAGCTGGATAAAGGGTAAATTGGCACCCTGTGATGCCATCTAATTGGCATTCATTATACATATTAAGCATATCAACTCAGTAGATTTTATTTGCAGTAAATGTAATGCAATTAGATTGTAAGCCTGCTACCTTTCAAATAAATCACTCTAACATTACTCTTTGCAATATTTGGGATCACAAGAGATGACTGATTATATTTTTCACATTACTTGCAAGGGAAACTATTAACATTTCAGTAGAAATTCTTACCAGATGTGTAGGCAACTGAGCACAGCAAAGAGAATCCCTGCAACCAGGGCCAAGGGAATGGCAAGGACAAGTGTCAGGAGCTTATATATCAGGTACTTGCTGAGCTCAAAGAGAGCATGGCTGCAGACCCAGACTTTATCGAAAGAGTGAGTGGATGTAGGCTCCGCTATCACGTCCTCAAATCCCAGCTGGAACAGAGGGAAACAAGCATGAGCACCGCAAACACAGCTTCTCTTCTGAAATGCAGACTGGGGTCTTCACGGGGAGGGGAAGCGCCGGGCAACAGGCAGCAGTAACAACCTGTTGCTTTTGTCATTGTTCTGAAAGAATCTGGCTGATTAGCATGGAAGGATTTAGAAGTTTGTGGATTCAAAAGGTAGGTACAACCGAGGACTCAGAAACTACCTCTGAGCCTAAATAAATGGGCTTTCTTTTCCCTTCCTGAAGATCAAGGGAGGGAACGAGCGAGGAAACCAGCACCCCAAATGACAGATTACTGGAATTCGCACAGGCTGGAATCGGGAGGGGGGGGGGGAAATCCCACGCGCTAAATTCGCCTTCAATGGCATAAAGAGAAAACGCTCCACTTCCACAAAGGGGGCTCGAAGGCGACATTCAAAGTGTGAGGGCGGAGGTCCGGCGGGGACGCCAGAGTCTGCGTGGGGATCAGGGCGCCTCACCTTCAGGTGGCTGTTAAGCCCGTGCGGGTCCCGGTCGGGCGCTTTCTCCAGACTTTTTTCAGTCTCCGACGGCGCGGGACTATCGCTCCGATTGAAGCCGTCTTCATCCATGAAGATTTTGGTGTCCGCTTTCTCTTTCTCCAGCCCCATGATCGCTCGCCTGGGCAGCCTGGATCTGGCGGAGCAATTCCTGGGCTGTGGCCGGGGACGCCTTCCCCTCCCCCACCTCTCGGTGCCCCCTCCTTTGCCCTGGGCTCCTGCACTAGGGTGCTGCTGGGCAGACGAGGCCAAGCCCAGACCACGCCCCAGAGCATCCCCCACAAGCGACGCCCTCTCCGCGGGAGTTCTGCTGCCAACGCTGCCGCAAGCAGGAGCGGCAGAGCCCGTTGGAAGCGGCAGACGCACCCGCTTGGTAGCCGCGCATGCTCACAAAGGCCGTGTCTAAGTTTTGACAGCTAGTTTCGTAGATTTAACTTTATCCGAGGAGTCCTATCAATATCCCAAAGGTGCTTTTTCAGGGGGCAGCTGGACTTTCTGGTTTTGCTTTGAAAACGTTTCACTTTCCATCCAATTGTTCTCCTATGTTGTGCCATACGGTTATGAAGTGGTTCGTAAAAGCTTCATAAAGTGGTTCATAAACACTTCATAAACTCATGGCACAACATAGAACAAACCCATCAGGACAAAATTCAGCAGTCTATTTGCATTTAAAAGACAAAGACCATTCTTTTGAAAACAGCGAAGTTCACATTTTGGACAGAGAGGACCGCTGGTTGAAAGAGGGGTCAAAGAGGCCATCTAGTCAAAATTGAACAGCCCTCTCTCAACAGAGGGGGAGGGATACAATATCATCTATCTCCAGTCTACAACACAATCCTTTCAACAGTCCCAAGAAGGCTCCACATTCATTTGAACCACTCATGTGACCCTGAAGACAGATAAACTCAATCCAGGTGACCTCAATGACTCTCTAAAATAGGGGAATCAAACTCAGTTTCATCAGCATTATGGTTGCCCTCAAAGGGCCAGTTGCATGTAAGACTATGATGAGTCACAGTGGTCAGGTGGGTGTGGCTGGGTGGGTATGGCCAGCTCGACGTTGCTCCTTATGCACGTGCACAGGGGTAGTGCCTGCCCGGGCTGGGGTGGGCTGGGGCCACTTCCTGGGTTATTGTCCACCCACAAGGTCCAGATTTAGCTCCCTTAAATCTTGGATTTCCTCCCTTAAATGGGGTAAGAGAAAGGGAGTGGAAACAAATAAAATATACTAGGAAGAAAAGGAAAAAATATGTAAAACAAAGGAAAGAAAGAGGAAAGAGAAAAGTGTAAGGACAGAGTTGAGAAGTAGAAAAGGAAAGGGAAAAGGAAAGATTAATTGAAAAAAAAGGAAAGGGAGGGGAAAAGAAATGGTAAGAGAAGGGAGGGGACAGGAGGAGAGAGAGATGAGAATGGAAGGGAGGGGAGGGAGGGAGGGAGGAGAGAAGAGAGAAGGGAAGGGAAGGGAAAGGAAAGGAAGGGAGAAAGGTGAGAAGAAGGGCATTGCCCAGATATGGCATCTACTTTGGCAAAGAACCTTTACCTGGGTCTAAAATGGAATGCAAAAACTGGGTGATTTGGAAAACTCTGCATTTGCAGAGCAAACAGACTAATTTAACTGCCTGGGTTTTAATCCTTTTGCCTTTCATTACTTCTTGCAACCATTGGTAACTTTCTCATTGAATTCTCTGGTAGTTCAGGTACATGATTTTGCTAGACTGATATTTTGGGCATAGGTGAAGCCAGAAAAAGGAGACACCACAAAAACACTGTGATGCAAAATGATTTATTCCTAAAGAAGCATGCAAGAGAGGCCAGCCTTCTCTATAGTTGAGTTCAGGCTTCTGGAATTTTTAAACTGGAATTTTTTCTTCCAATTTTTCTGAAATGGAGCCTCCTAAGCTACGCACAACCGAGGAAGGAACTTTATCCCTTGCAAACTCATTTAAAAATGGGCTTAGGCTTTTAAGCCCGCTATTTCTTTGAATCAAACCAGCGTCCATGACACTGTAGACATCTATTAATTGTGATCATGTGTCTTTGGTTCAAAATATTAATTCAAAGGGGGGGGCTTGTGGCACAGGCTGGGCAAGGTGGGGCAGGGCAAGGCAGGGCGGAGCTGGGCAAGGTGAAGCTGTGCGAGGTGTGGTATGGCAGATTGAGGTATGGCGTGGCAAGGCCAGGCGTGGCAGGGTGGGGTGAGGCAGGGTGTGGTGAGCCAATGCAAGTCATGCAGGAGAGGTGTAACGTGGCAGTGTCGGGACACTCCATCACTACTCGCGTGGCCGCATTCTGCACCAGCTGAAGCCTCCGAGTGGTCTTCAAGGGCAGCCCCATGTAGAGAGCATTGCAGTCATCAATACGGGAGGTGACAAGTGCATGAGTGACTGTGTGTAGGGCATCACGGTCCAAGTAGGGGCGCAACTGGCGCACCAGGTGAACCTGGGCAAATGCCCCCCCCTGGTCACGGTCATTATATGATCTTTCAGATTTAACCGTGAATCCAGGAGGACGTTCAGGTTGCGCGCCCTATCTACAGAAGGCAACACCTCACCCCCTATAACCTAAGATGGAATATCTTGTTCGAGCAGAACCGGAAGTGTCGCAGTGAGACTGGCTGGAAAATAGCGAAGCTCTGATGAGCTTCGCGAAAATCCAGCCAGACAAACAGCTGCCGGGGGTCTTTGGACCAGAACTGTCTTGGAGGGATGGTGAAGAAAGAGAGGCACCTCGGAAGGGTTCCAAGAGGCAAGTTCCTTGAAGGGTCCGAGGCAGCTCTTTGATCCGGCAGCGAGGGTGGCAGCCATAAAAACAACTGCTCTAAGTTGGGGCAACCGGACTAAGATTTGTGCAGGAATGATATTTGAATGGAATATTGTTACCAGATGAGTGATTTGGCCAATTTAAAGGTAAAAAGAAATTCTTTGGAAAAAGCTTGAAAGAGGTCCCAGCGTGAAATGAACGGCTAATTAGCACTTTGGAATGTTAATTGGAGGGAAAAGAACAAAGAGGAAGTTAAAAGACTAAAGCCCAAAAAACCCTACTTTCTACCTGGACTTAAAATTGAATTTGGAGAAATTAAAAATAATACAAGAAAAAGAAAACTGAGAGAAAGCATTTTTTAACAATAAAAGGAAAACAAATTAAAGAAAAAGTATTTTCAATGTGGATTTAATAGTGATATTTTGTTGCCTGGGAATTTGTGAACTGGAGAGAGAAGAAAGTACTACAACGAACGCTTTAAATATTGAAGGAGTACTTTTTTAAACAGCTGGATCCCGACCTTGAAAAGAAGAACAAAGCCTTAAACTGGAATAGTTTAGATAAATATTTGAATACTATTTGGAAATAAAAAGGAAGAGAGACACTATATGGACTTGAATTTTAACTACATATAAATTAAAATGAGAAATTTTTTGAATTGACAATATGGAACATTGGGAATATGAGGAATTAATGGAAATGTTTAAGAAGGTGTGTGAAGCATTTAAGGGTGATAAGCGGAAATCTGGTTAGAATACAAAAAAAAAGGAAAAAGAGAATATAAATGTGAAGCAAGAACATAATGTTGAAAGGAAAATAATTGAAGATTACACTGGGATTGAAAGTGAAAAACAAAATGTGGATAGGGGGGGAATATCACCCAAAAAAGAAAGGAAGAGAAGGAAATGGGAAAAGACTGAGGGAGATAATTAAAAGGGTAACAATTTTAAAAATGAGAGAAAGGATTCAGGGGAAAAGATACAATAAGAAGAAACTAAGAGAATGGGAGAAAGGGAGAAAGGGAGAAAGAAGTGGAATTTTGGAGAGACCAAAAGAAAATGGATAAATGGGGAAGAATAATGGAGAGAAGGAAGGGAGTAAAACATTTATTAGTTGATTTAAGGGAAATGTATTAATAGTAGAAATTGTATGTAAAAGTAAACAAGAAGAAGTACAACAATAGAAAGAGAATGGAAGGAGGAGTAGAGGGAAGAAGGAGAAGAGAGGAAGGAGAGAGAGGAATAAAAGAAAGGGAAAAGGAGAGGAAGGAGGGGAAATAAGAGTAGGAGAGAAGGTTAGAAAGGGAGGAAGGAATATAGGAGGGGGAGGAAGGGGAAGTAGAGAAGGAATAGGAGAGGAGGAAAAAGGAAAGTAGAAAAGGATAGAAGAAGGGAGGGAAGAGAAAGAGAGGAGAGGAGAAGAAAAATTGTTGTAAAACAAGGGAGATGAAATGGTAGAAATGTGCAAATTTATTAGGATGAAGAATGAATTAATATGAAAGTTAAAAAGGAATATATATAATTAACAATGGATAAGATAAGATAATTAATTGAAATAATGTTAAGAAACTAGGATTTGAGGGCAGATGGTGATGCTGTTTATATAATAAATATAGAAGTGTTAAGATAAGATTAAAAAAGTATGGAAAAAGAATATTTTGGCAAAACTGGTAACTATATAAAATGAAATTGGATATGATAAGTTGCATAAGTTATGATATGGTCAGTACTCTGTTCATAAAATATGTGTGTGTGTGTGTGAAAGAAAAAAAATCAATAAAACTTGATTTAAAAAAAATTCTATAGCCTTCTGGTTTGTTAATAACTGGTTTGCTAATCTAAACTTTATCTTCTAATATTAGAGGTTCTCATAAATAAATTACATCTTCTAAGGCCGTGATGGCGAACCTATGGCACGTGTGCCAGAGGTGGCACACAGCACCCTCTCTGATGGCACACAAGCCATCGCCCCAGTTTAGCTCTGCTGTGCTCTGCTGCGCATACGCACATGCCTCCCACCAGCCAGCTGGTCTTCGGGTCTCTGCCATGCATGCATGGGGGGTGGGGTGCGTGTGAGAGGGCTGTGTGCACATGCGGAAGAAGATGGGGTGCATGGGGTGTGCGCCCGCATGCGCAGGAGGCGTGTGTGGGGAGATGTGCGCACATATGGGCAGGGAGGCAGGGTGCATGCAGGGGGGGTACACATGCATGCGTGGGGGGCAGGCCACATGCACAGGGGCCACATGCTCATTGCATCTTGGGGGTTCAGGTACACATGCATGCATTCGCACGCATGCACATGTGCTTTTGGCACTCAGTCCGGAAAGGTTAGCCATCACTGTTCTAAGGTATCTTAGAAGACCTCTCTACTATATAGAATTTCATTATGCTGCTTCTATCTTCCTTTGATTTTCTTGGTGACAGTTACTTTCTGCCAATTTAAATAAATAGTGCATGCACATTTTTTGCTTGCTTCACTAGAAAAGAAGGAAAGAAGGAAAAACAAGTAG